TTCCACAGGAACAAGAAAACCCCTTTTCCTCACTTTGATTTATGGTCTCCCATCTGCTGCGGGGAGGGCTGGAGGAGATGCTGATGTTTGGAGAAGCACAGTCCTCTCTGCTTGTGTGTGGTGAGAAGGTTGGAGACACCCACCCATGTGTTAGCTAGGCACATGGTTTTTCCAAATGCTTGTGGTAATCTCAGTTATTTTTATTTCATGGAGAAACTCCAAGAGTTGGTCATTTCTGAACTGGTCATCTCTGAGCTTCCTGTGCTGCAAACAGACACGTGAGCTGTGTCATTGCCCTGGTGGGTCTGTACAGCCAGTGCCTGCTCCATCCTTGTGTGAAATGCAGCTCTTTAAATCCCCAGAAGTGTGGAGGGGTGAGGAGGGGTGGAGATGGGTGCTGAGGGGTGGATTCAGAGCAGTGGGTGGGATATTAACATGGACCAGTTAGAACAAGTCCAGAAGAGGCCACTGGGATGATGTGAGGGCTGGAGCAGCTCTGCTGTGAGGACAGGCTGAGAGAGTTGGGGCTGTTCAGCCTGGAGAAGAGAAGGCTCTGGGGAGACCTTCTAGTGGCCTCCCAGTACCTGAAGGGGCTCCAGGAAGGCTGGGGAGGGACTTTTCATAAGGGCAGTTAATGACAAAACAAGAGGAAATGGCTTTAAGCTGAAATAGGGGAGGTTTAGATGAGATATTAGGAAGAAGTTCTTCACTGTGAGGGTGGTGAGACAGTGTCCCAGGTTGGCCAGAGAAGCTGTGGCTGCTCCTCCCTGGAAGTGTTCTTGGCCAGGCTCCTTTAGGCAGCGTGTGTGTTCCTAGGAAGGAAAATGAACTGTATGGGAAGGTCAGATGGATGGGTGGTGGTGGCCTCACTGGAGTGATTTACCAAGGAACCAAATAGTGGGATTAGAGGTGGGCTGAGGTCATGGGGGTGATGAGAAACCGTGTGTAACCCAGAGCAAGACAACGTCCTGAGCTTGCTTAGCGTGGAGCTCGGGCTGCCCTGAAATGGAGAAGGTTACATTTCTGTGTTTCCAAGTGTGTGTCCTGCCCCCTCAGGAGCTGTAGCTGCTGCTTTAAACTCATGCCCAGATGTCCCAGACTGTGACACGCTGCTACCATGTCACTGTTGTGTTTTTAAATGTATATATTGCTAAACCACGGCAGCTTCACCAGACGCTGGTGCTATTAACCTGCCTGGCACTGCTGTGACTCTGCCTCCTCCCACTCCTCTCCCAGGAGCTTCTCCTACCTGTGCCATTTCTCATCGCTCACCTCCAGCCTTTCTCCTCCTTACCTCCTGCTTGAGCAGTGTTTCTCTTCTTCCTCGAGCCCTTTCTCCCTGTGCTGGTGGCAGTCCCCTCCTTTCCCAGCAGAGCCCCAAAGCGGAGCTGTCTCCATCCAGGCTGGAGGGTGAGGGGGTGGGGGGGTGTATTTCATCAGGAGGGAAATTCTGCAGCTTCCACTATGGGCAGAGTCCATCCAGAAACAGGTCCTTGATTTCAATGAAATCAAACCAGCTGGGGAGCAGCAGTGCAGGAGAGAGAGAGCTCTGCTTCCTTCCAGAGGCTCCCATCCTCAAATTCTTTTGGGGTTTTTTTGAGCATGGGGTCAGTATTATCATCCTGTTAAGATAATACTCTCAGTATTATGAATAAACAGAATGTGTCTCTGCCTACAGAGCACAGCTGTGCTGCAGGAAAATGTTTAATATGGGGGTTTTTTTTGTTGAAGGAGAGTTTGGGCTTAGATGAGGAGTAGCACTGTGGCTGCTTAGCCTCCTCCTTGTGAAGCAGCGCTGTTACCAACCCCCTTTACCTACCCCTTAGGATTTCTTCTGAGACAATGCAATCACTGCCCCACATGAAGTCCTGGAAACCACTGCCACACATGCTGCCAGACTGCTGCCATTCCCCGTGGCAAGAAGGTAACCTTCTGCTGCACCTCTGAGCACTGAAATGAGGCGTGCTTGATCCCTCGAGGGGTACGCGCGCTTCTCCTGCGGATCAGTAAGTGGTCTGACAAACTGCTGCCACTGCTCAGCTCATTCAGGGCTGCTTCACTCCTGTAGTTGATACACCAGAACACACACCCATAATGCTGGAATCCAGAGCAGTGGCACATGTCACAAGTGACACGTTTTTAGTCCGTTTTCACACCTATTTCCAGATTTGGAGTTTGCTGGGTCACCCACACTGACCTGAATTAAATTATGGAATTATTCTGCTGGGGCAGGTTTCTTTTTTTTCCTTCTCATATATTTTATATTTCATTTGAAGACTTGGTGACGATAGATCTGATGCTTTTCTTAACAAATGGTTAATTATTTGTTGCCCTCCCAGATGTCATTGCTGCTGTTGTGGAGGGGTTTTGCTGTGAGGTTGATGTGAGGTTTGCAGAGGCTCCTATTGTGTTTTGACAAGACAGAAGATGCCTCTGGGGAGTTTAATTTGCAGCAAGAAAGTTCTAGGGTGCTTTTATTCTTGCTGTGTGCATAGAAATCACTTCTTGTTAACATCCAGAATTCATTTTCAGAAATTCATCTTCTGGTTTTTTTTGGAAAACCAAAATATTTGAGAAGTAATAGCATTGTGTTTTAGGGTCTAAAGCTACACCTAACCAGGGATAAGGCCACCAGTGCAATCTTTAGTTTCCAAATCTTGATGCTCTGATCTGTTCTGATAGCTAAAGTTAAAAAAAACCCCAAAAAACTACATAAAACTAACCAAGGCAGCCAGGTCTGTTGCTTATGTTAAAAATTTGACAGTGGGTTTTTCACTTTTGCGTAGTGTCTTCAGAAAATAATTGATTTTTAAAGCAAAAAATCAAGATATCTTTTTCAACATGACTAGATCTGGTATTTTTTAATTATTATTTTTTTAACTAAGGAGTCATGGTAACACTTTTGCAAGGGAGCCAAGGTGCTGTTGCAAGTAGAAATATACAAAATTTAGGCTTTTTTTTTTTCTTCATAATTATGCAACACAATCTCCCAAGTTCTATATTTAGTTCTCTAAAGTAAAAACCAGTTTATACTACTGCATCCATAACTGAAAAGATAAAATATTGATAATTTCATCATGTTTTCTTAAGGTAGATTTTTTTTGGGGGGTGGTTGCACATCTGCTTGCTTGACTTCCTTGTGGTCTGCACCGTTTGAAAGACGCTGGTCGTGCTCCTCAGCCCACGAGGCTGTGGTTACCTGTCCAGTCAGGAGGAGGAGAGTGACCCACTGTTCCTATTTCTCTTTGGGTGATATGATAATATTTTACTAAGTGGATAATATGCCAAGGATTTAAGTATTTGATATGCAAACCTTCCCAAACTGTGACCATTAACATTCAGGCTGAAGCGTGCGGTTCCTGACGTGGACAGAAATCACAGGAAACACAAGATTTTGCAGCTGCCCTCTTTAGATTCTGGTAATGACTAAGCAGCCTCCAGTTTCAGTTTTGTCTTGCAGCTTTTAATCCAGTTATGTGTATAATCTTGTGAAAGTGTCTCTCTCTTTCCCCTGAGATGTGAGAAGTTGTATTTAGAGCACTTTTGACTCAGATATTTATGGTTCTCGGGTTTGCTGATGAAATGAGACAATTTAACTTTTAAGGAAGGGTCATGCTCCTCCCTTGATCAGCTTCTGTAAATAATAGTCTGTGATGCCTCTGCGTGGTGTGACCTTTTTTTTTAATAGTTGGACCAAACAGTGCATAATGGTTCATCAATAATTTGAGATGTTCATAATGGTTCATCAATAATTTGAGATGTTCATAATGGATCGGCTCCAAATTTGGGGGAACTTATTTAGTTGTTGGCCATTGAATAAAAATTGTACATGACTGGACATCTCTGGAAAAGCCAGTGAGCTATGGGCTACATGCTTTTGAAAAATATTGGGTGTTATTCTTGTGCAAGGGGAAATGCATTAAAGACTGTAAGAACCTGTGCTAGAAGTGCCTGCCTTGAAGATGATCTTCAGTCTTCTCCAGTGGAAGTTTAATTTCTCCCCCAGATCTGAGAAGGTGTTTGTGTACTAGTTCCTAATTGGCCTACCTTAAAGACCTACTTCCAGAAGGTTATTTGGACTTTGTTCCAGATCCCCCTCAGGCTGCAGCATGCCTTCAGTTTAGTCAGGCCACCTCAGTGTTTTTCCAACACTCTAAAATTCAAAATATACAATTAAAAATCAGAATCTTGTTTTGAGAGACAGAAGTTTGTAGCTGCATTGCTTGAACCAAGTGAAGGACTTCTGGTGCTCGCTTTTGTGGCTGTATGCCTGAGGCTTTACAACTTTAAAACCCAGTTATTAATTGTTTGTGTGATAAAGGTGTGTTCATTTAATGAAATTAAGCTTGTAAGAATTTCATAAGCCAGGCTACGCTCTGGTGTGTCGTTCATTCGAGCTTCTCTTTATTAGGAATGTTTTCAGCTTCGCTGAAATTCAGTGTGTCAGGGTGTGTTGACGCCAGTATTTAAATGACTGATTTGAAATAGTGCATCAGCTTGAATGATAAAAACTGGTTTGATTTGCTGATGGCTGCTGCATTATAGGAAGTTTATACAATGGGTGTAGGTGGGGCTGGTTTCTGTGTGGGTTTAGGGTTCTACGTGTGTGTACTGCATTCGTGGTGGAGGTGTGAGTTTGGGGACTGAGAAAGGAAAGCACAGCAGAAGTGATGCACAAAATTGTACTTACAGTTTCCTGCTCTTACCTGTTGAGTTGTGTAGAACATTCTCTACTGTTTCTCCTTATTTTTGTTCATTATCCTTATTTTTGTTCATTATCCTGTTGGTTTTTTTCCCTTCTGGAGTCCTTAGATGTGAAGGGAGGAAGAGGCAAGCTGGGCTAGCACTAAAGAGGTGGCCTGTCTATCTCCATTAGTACAATTCTAAGTGTTCATATATTCACAGAGAATGAGGGTGACGTGTGTCCTGTCGTAATACCAACACTAAAACGATGCTTGTTTGAGGAATTAAATAAGCAGCCTTATTTTTCTCTTGTTTAGAAATTGAAAAAATTCAGAAGGGTGAAACAACAAAGAAGGATGAGGAAGAGAACTACCTGGATTTATTTTCCCACAAGAATATGAAACTGAAAGAACGAGTTCTGATACCTGTCAAACAGTACCCCAAGGTGAGGGCCAGAAAACAGCTTCCTGAATCTCTGTGGTTTGCTTATTTTCTATGGATTTTGTGGCTGACTTTTAGAGATAGCAGCTATCAGAGTGTCATCAGGAGTTATGCCAGTGTTCCACTATCACTACAGGATTTTTCCTATGCAAGCTTGCGGGATCTTATTTCTCATATATTACATTTCTAGAATGTCTTGGGATAAAGCTAAATGGCAATGCACAGTCATGATCTTTTAGAATGGACACTTGCATATGTAGAGCTTTGTGTTTTACTGTTAAAAACCCATTTAACTCTTTAAGACTGTAAAACTGTTGGAGGGTAGATGTTAGCATTAAAAGCTTTATGTGAGTTAATTTAATTTGATTTTCTGGTGGAGCATTTTTTTCATGAAAAAAATATTCTGGAACTTAAATTTTCCTCTACATTTTTTGATCTATATTTTTTGGTGAGGTGAAGAGAAGGTGAGAGTGGCTAAATTTTTTGTCAGGCAGCATAACATTAAGAAAAGCTTTTGTTAAGGCTACTGAGCTTGGGTGCTAATTTTTAAAATTTATTTATATTTATTTACAGTTCAACTTTGTTGGAAAGATTTTGGGACCTCAAGGCAACACCATCAAACGACTTCAGGAAGAAACTGGTGCTAAGATATCTGTGCTTGGGAAAGGTTCAATGCGAGATAAAGCAAAGGTAAGGGAATCACCCTTGAAAACATACATATGTATTAATGCCTTTCATGTTGCTGTGAGAAGTTCTGGTTCTCAAAGCATTTTATAAAAGATTAAACCATTAAAATCCAAGATCAGGAGGAAGTCGCCCTTCCTAAATTATTCTGTGCATGTTAGGAGCAATCTTGATTGGGACAGAAGTGTGATGCATGTTTTCTTGGTGAGCATGACTTAGAAACCGGTCATCTTTTGATACCCTGTCCCCTTGGATGCAGAGATAGTTTATATGAAAGGTGAAGTACAAAGATTACAAAATAAGAATTAATTCCAGCTACTCTGTGAAAAGTCAGTTGCTAAAGGAATGTGTTTCCCCTCCAGGGAAAAAAAAAAATCCTTTTTCCAGCTCTTCCTTCTAAAATCCTTAAATTCTCATGGTTCACTGAAGACGTTGGAGCAGTATGTTCCTGGTGATCTTTAGTGAATCACAAAATGCCAGAAGGTTTTTTTGAGCAGAAAAAATGAAAATAATTTATTTTTTCTTCCTGCTTACTCCCAAAACTGAGCTGACAGCCAAGAGATATACCACTTAGTTCAGCTTTTTACTCTTTAGCAGCTAAAAAAGCTTTTCTACTTCTAGCTTATTTGTAGCTTCTTAAAGCCATCTGAATAACACAGGTAGCTAAGAGCAGAGGTAAAGAGCAAGCTTGTTTGAGGCACTAGACTTCACTAGGTGGTAAAGAGCACCTCAGGCAGAAAGGTGGTGTAGGAGATGAAGAGCACTGCTTGCATATGCTTAATCTTCTGGGGAAAAAAGTGACTGACATCAGGGCATTAGCAAAAATATCAGTCACCTGAAAAGGCAGCTATAAAAGGCTGGAAGGTGTAGATTGCATGTGGCTCCTCATAAAACTGTTTGCTGATGTGCATAGTATGTTACCTTGATCTGTGTCCAGACACGACCAAAATGCTTTTACAGACATTTCCTGTTAAAGCTTAAAAAACAGGTATAAGAAAAATAGTTTCTCTCTATCTGGTTTAGTTTTAGAAATCCCTAATCTGCCTTTGTTTCAGGAGGAAGAACTGCGTAAAGGGGGAGATCCTAAATATGCCCATCTCAATATGGATTTGCATGTCTTCATTGAAGTTTTTGGACCCCCTTGTGAAGCATATGCTCTGATGGCTCATGCCATGGAAGAAGTCAAGAAGTTCCTTGTTCCAGTATGTGTACTGATGCTCTTTTCTTATTGAAGGAGGTAGATGGGTTGTGAATTTGGCTGTAAGGTTGGGTAAGATTTGCTCATGATACTGGATGGGGTAGTTGAGGAAGCCTGGGGTATTAAGTGTGTGTGTGTGTGGCAGCTTAAAATGACCCCTTTAATCTCACATGAAGGCATCTATTATTTCCCTATCCATAATTAGAAAGACATCCACTTACAGGGCAATTGTACAGAACACTTGGAGTAGTTATTTCTCTCCCAGTCCCAGCTGTGGACACTGGGGTGGGTGGGTATTTTGTCTAGCTCCATGTGTCAGTTTTAGCAGGAGAATTAAGTTTAGCCATGTCTGGCATGGAAGAGACTTCTTGGGTGGCTTCTTCTGACTTGGAACTTTAGCACAGAAATCTGTCTAGAAAACTGCATTGGTCAGATCAGAGACTGTTAAGTACAGAGGGGTTTGCTCTGCTCTAGAGGAGTGGTGTGAGGAAGAGGAGGGTGACTGCCCAGGCAGCTCCATAGTAGGATTCAATCTTGGTGCTGTTTTCTAAGTTATTCCTGTTAAATTGCTATTTCTGCCTCTTTTAATGCAGCTGATGTGAAGGAACCTCTTTTTGCTAACCAGGCATTTATACAGATGACAGTTGTTATCTGTCTGGGGATGTCTTACTGCT